CAGAATGTGTCTGTGAAGTTTCACCTGAAAATACCCCACAGATAATTTATTATATCATTTTGAAAATGCCTATTTTGAGTGGAAGCAGAAATGCAAATGAGCTGCTGCTTCTCACTCCCTTTTTCTGAATAGAGCTGCGCCATTACAGCTCGTACCTGCTAAAAACATCTGGTTTGTTTCTGATTATCATGTTTATTGCGCTGAAATCATGCGTTTTAAACCATATTAGTTTAAACTTCTGATATACGGTTTTCTGAGCGCACACATCCGAAGCACATGTACAGAAAGCGGCTGTCATAGCATGTGAGTACTAAACTAAGTTCTCATTCACACACAAGTTTACGTTAAAAACACACATGAGTTACAAAAAACAGTCGGTTATGTCTGTGAAGGTAAACAGCTGGGAAATAAATTGCATGTTTATTTTAGATTTGTGTGGCAGTAGCGTAATATACAGTAAATAAATCAATAAATCATCTGCTCTATTGTCTCCTCTGAGGCTGGGACTCTAAATAGTGTTCTGTGCAGCCAAAGATAGAATAGCATGTTTTGCTCAAACTTTTGCCATGGCATTAGAGCCGGTACACCGTTGTCGCTTGCGAAATCAAAATGACGGTGCCATGGTGGGTGGAAACTCACAGATTAAGGGGCGGTAATATCATAATGAGATCCCTTTGCAACGTCACCAAGGGAGTGAAATCAGACGCGTTCATTTTTTCAGACGCTTGCAGAAAAAGGCTTACCAAAACAAACTTTTGGACAAAGAGTTGAGGCAGGCCAGGTCTTCTGCCAAATTTGTGTAATTTTGATGTCATTACTTTAACAGGAGATGCAAAAGAAAATCGGTTCATGGCAGAGAAAGATGAATATGGTGCAGACACTATGACGGAAATCCATATTGTTGGACGTGTTGTCCTCAACATGTGGAGGATTATGAAGACTGAGGTTCCCTTGAAATTCATACCCCAAGAATGCCAGAGCTAACACTGTTTATCTGAGAGTGTTTTATCAAGTGCTTCATGTATGTTTTCAGGCTGCATTGAATAACTACACTTTTGAGAATGTGGCTTTCCACCTCCTGCATCAGCGCTTTCCTCTCTACAGCCATCGCACACTCTCTGACTGGTTTGACCACAACACACACCTGCACAGGTGGGAGTTGTTCTCACATCTGTCAGATGCCTATTACTGGTCTTGTTGCAGGGTTGTTCCTATGAATATCATTGCTTCGTTCATCTTTCAAATAGTTAAATTCAGAATTGAATACTAGCATACTGATTACTGCATATTGTACCATATACTGTATACTGTATGGTACCAGCTAAAAGTATGTAAAAATGTTTCGCATTTAACAATGCACTGCAAACAATTAACTTGCATATGTTGGTATTTCTGTTTTGTAGCAAAATTAAGACAATCTAAAAATGTTCTTTAATAAACGCTACTAAATTTTGTTAGAATAATGCATAAAACAGCAACCAAAACAACATATAAAAATATTAATGTTGGCGCAGATAGCCTCGTGGGCAGCACGCCTACAAATAGCAGCTTTGGGCGTCCTGGGATCGAGTCCTGGTTCGCTGACCTTTCCCAATCCCATTCCCCTCTCTCTCCCACTTTGCTTTCTGTCATCATACTGTCCTTTCTGTCATCAAAAATCCCCCCCCCAAACCCCCCCCCCCCCCCCTCAAAAAAAAACAATAATAATAATTAAATTCAATAATAGAACAACTCTAGAATTTTAAGCAGTTTTCTTCTCAAATATGTGTTGTTTTATGACTTCATATCATGTTGAAAATAAATGTTAAAGGTCATTGCATTTATTTGATATTTTTGTACTGTCACTGTGTACGTGATATTTTCTGGTCATACAAACAACATACTGTTTATTACATTTTTGTGTGTGTGTTCTGTTGTTTGGGTCAGGTGGAAAGTGGTGGATCATTATGTGAGCCGTGTGTGTGGCACAGTCCAGTTGCTCCAGCAGCAGGATATTATCGGCAGGACAAGTGAGCTGGCACGCGTGTTTGGAATCCAGTTCTACCACGTGCTAACTAGGGGGTCACAGGTAAACATCCATCTGAAACCTGTCACACAGATGCACAGTGATGCCTTTAGCTCTCTGTCCGATCACAATATACAATTGAGATCAAAATTGGTATACTTTTACATTGGCAATATTGGCAATATTATTAGTCTTAAATAAGTAAATCTGCATTGTGTGTCCTTTTTATATTTCATTAAAAGATTCCACAAAAGTCTTAACTTTTCATTGAAGTAAAACGATTGAAAATGATGGGAAAATCTCATTATGAAATGTCTTTATCCAATGCAGTTATTTGCCACTTTTTGCAACTTCGATTTGCCAAGATCTTCTCTTATAATGCCTGATGTGGTTGGAGAACCCCTGGCAAGGTGTTCCATACAGAATATTTCCAGATCCTTCCAATTCCCAAGTCCATGTTGGTGCCGCTCCTCTTCAATTCACCCTACTAATTTTCTATTAGGATCAGGTCAGGGAAATGGGATGGCCATGGTAGAACCTTCATTTTGTGTTCAGTGACTCATTTTTGTGTTTGATGTGTGTTTTGGATCACTGTCCAGACGGAAGACTCAGCCATGGCTCATTATAAGATTTGTAGCAGAGGCAGTGAGGTTTTTAAATTTTTTTTATCTGTTGGTATTTGATAGAATCCATGATGCTATGTATCTGAACAAGATGTCCAGGACCTCCATGAGAAAAACAGGCCCACTGCATTGAAGGTCCAGCAGTATATTAAACCATGGGCATGGAGAATTTTATCCCTGTGTATCGTATTAAATCCATATTATGTATGCCAAAAAACTTTCTGAGTTTCATCTGACCATAGAATCCTGTCCCATTTGAAGTTCTAGTAGTGTCTGGCATATGCTGGAGTTTGTTTTTGGATGAGAGCAGAGGATTTTGTCTTGAATCCCTCCCAAAAAACATGTTGCAATTTAGGTGCTGTTTAGGAGCAGGAGTCTGTGGTGGCCAATCTTTCACAATTTAAGGCTGATGAATCTTTGTCATTTTTATCCTGGAATTTGTACATAGGTACATCTTCCAACATGGTTGTTGAAGAAATGAAAATCTACTCCTAAAATTATTTGCTTATTTAAGTCTAAAGAGTATTTGCTTATTTAAATTCAGACAGCGTCTTTTATTTTGGCTAGCTTGGCAATGTATAATATTAATGCTGTCAATTGATAAAAATTTAACTAATTGCGCATTTCTGTAATAAATTGCACATAACACTTTGTATCATTGAACATAAAGATGGTATATTTGATATATTTATTTAATAGCATCTTTTAACCAAATAATAATACTTATACTGATGTTAGATTTTTTTTAATCAATTTCTGGGAATTAAATGAGTGAATATTCCCA